GTGAGTGAGTGAGTGAGTGAGTGAGAGTGAGAGTGAGAGTGAGAGTGTGAGCGTGAGTGTGAGTGAGAGTGAAGTGTGAGTGCGAGTGGGAGTGGGAGTGAGTGCGAGTGTGAATGTGAGATTGAGTGAAGAATGAGTGTAAAGGAGGAAGGCCTCCGCGTCCATCGGCAGGGCTTGTGCGTTTGATATGATTTCCGAAGGTGTCTAGCACAAAAAGTTTCCTATATAGTGGGTTTTTGTGGGCGGCCCGTTGACATACGGTGACTGTTGGAAACGCTCTGTCCTCAGCACCGTCTCCGCGCTGTTGGGCTAGCCGCAAGTAGACGCTGCAGCACTGGCCAGCGTTGCATTCGGCGGCGCTCTCGCAGGATCGCCGCCAGCAAGGCGGGGCGCGCCGGATCCCGCGGCCGCTCTCGAATGCCCGGACTTCCTGCGACAAGCTTTCGTTGCAGGTGAATTTGCAGAACTTAAATGTTTCTTTGTCCGAAGGCTCCTCCTGTGCTGCCGGGGCGTCGCGCTGCCGCCGCACCAGCGGGTGTACCTACCTGCTCTGGCCGTACCTGGCCTCTGCTCTGGTACACCCGAACGCGCGGGTCGCCCGGAGGCGTGCCAGCCGCCGGGCTCGTCCTGGTAGAGGAGGGCATCCAACCGACCCGCCTGGAGTTGCTCGTTGACCCTGGCCAAGGCTTGCAATGCCTCAGATTGACAATTGAGTTCACTGCCTACCTGTTGTTGCTACTGCGCAGATTTTGGATCAACGATTTGTTTGTCGGTTGGTTTGCATCCAAGAAGCCGAGTTGGCTTCGCGGTCGGCTCGTGCCAGGTCCCGGTTCATCAGCTCGACTTCCGCGGGGCCTGGGCATGTCTGTGGCTTTTGTTTCAATGTTTTGGCGCTGGGTGCCCCGGCTAAAACGTCGAGATCACCTCGCGGACCTCTTGGCTGTGCGACCCACGGCCTTAGTCAGTCCGCAGTGAACTTGACGTTTAAGATTAATTAGTTCTTATTTTGTGAGTTGCGTGCGTTTGCGGCCAACGGTAGAGCTTGCCAAGGGAACCTGGAGCTTGAACCCCCGAGGATCTCCTGGCAAGCGCGTCTATCTTCGAAAGACGATTCTAGGTTCAGAGAAGATACTTTGAGCTATTCGAAATGGGGTTTTTGCGCCTTGCTTGCCCGTGAGGCGCAGGCGGAGCAGGGTCAAGACCACCCTGGCATCCTGACAAGATGTCTAGATCTGTGATTCGAGGTTCACAAAGTACTGCGCCTGCCGCCTGCCACGAAATCTGCATCTCGAGGTTCACAAAGCGCTCTGCCTGCCACAAAATCTGCACTTCGAGGTTCACCAAGCGCTGTGCCTCCCACGAAATCTGCACTCTCTCACTCTCACTCACACTCGCACGCACACTCACTCTCCCACTCCCACTCACAGCCGCACTCCTCACACTTCGAGGTTCACCAAATGCTGTGACTGCCACAAAATCTGCACTTCGAGGTTCACCAAGTGCTGTGCCTGCCACGAAATCTGCACTTCGAGGTCCACAAAGTGCTGCACCTGCCACGAAATCTACGCCTCGAGGTTCACAAAGTGCTGCGCCTGCCACGAAATCTGCACTTCGAGGTTCACCAAGTGCTGTGCCTGCCACGAAATCTGCACTTCGAGGTTCACAAAGTGCTATTCTTGCCACGAAATCTGCACACTTCGACGTTCACCAAGTGCTGCGCCTGCCACGAAATCTGCACTTCGAGGTTCACCAAGTGCTGCGCCTGCAAAC